CAGTAGCAAAGTTCCATGACCAGGCAGTTGCCGGTCATATGGGCTTCCACAAGACGTTGGCTCGTGTGAGCCGCCTGTACGTCTGGCCAAAGCGCAAGGACTTTGTGAAGGACTACGTCGCAGAGTGCCCCACCTGTCAGCAGGTGAACAATGCGAACCACCTGCCTTATGGTTTGCTCCAGCCTCTTCCTATCCCTGAGGGTCGTTGGCAGTCCATCTCGATGGACTTTATTGGTCCTCTTCGTCCTCCGACCCCTCGCGGTCATGATGCTCTCCTGATCGTCGTCGACCGCTTCACGAAGCGTGCACGCTTTGTTCCGTGCCGCTGTGCCATCAGTGCAAGTGAGGTCGCCGACATCGTGTTTGACCGAGTCGTGCGTGACCACGGCTTACCTCTGAGCATCATATCTGACCGTGACCCGCGCTTTACCAGCCGATTCTGGCGACGGCTCCACGAGGTATATGGCACTCAGCTCCGCTTCTCCTCGTCTTACCATCCTCAGACTGATGGTCAGACCGAGATCACGAACAGGACTCTCGGAGATATTCTTCGAAAGATTGTTCGTGACGACCAGCAGTGGGATCTTCATCTTTCCCACGCGGAGATAACCTACAACCACGCCGTCTCGCCAACCACGGGGATGTCGCCTTACTATTGCGACCTCGGCTATCACCCTCATGTTCCCACAAACTTCCTTCGACCGTCCCAGCTGCACCCCGACACGAGTTGTACCGCACATGAGCACATAGCCGCTTCCCAGACTCGCATGGCAGCACGTGCGAACCGATCGAGGATGGATCATCCATTCAAAGTCGGTGATGATGTGCTTATCGACGCCCGCCACTTACAGCTCGAAGCGGACACGCTTCGCAAGTTTCGGCGTCGCTTCTTTGGCCCATGCCGCATCCTCCGGGCCGTCGGTTCTGATACGGCATCTAGCCCGGTGAGCTTCCGTGTGAAGCTGCCCGACTACCTACGCCAGGCTCGTGTGCACGATGTCTACCACGTCTCGTTACTGCGTCCTTACCGCAGACCGTCTGAGCGTTTCGCTGGACGACCATACGAGCGCCCTCCACCCATCATGGTGGACGGTCACGAGGAGTTCCTCGTTTCAGACATCATTGGTCGCCGAGTCACCGACGACAACCCTCCCCACGTCAAGTGTCTCGTACGTTGGAAGGGTTACCCTGATGAGGAGGCTATCTGGGAGCCCCTCGAGCACTTACAACACACTCGCATGTTGGTGCGTGCTTATGACCGTGCTCGTCGTGCTGGGTTCACTGCTCCTCCTCAACCCACTGACCGTCCTCCTTCTCCCCCGATTGAGGAGACCGCCGAAGTCGAGCCTGCTCCATCTGAGGCAGACCTTCAGTAGTAGCCGGATGCTTCTGAGCGTCCACAGCGCACTCGTCATCGTCCTGCTCGATACGACGATTGACTCCGACTTACCTTCCCACGTGCTTGACTTCTCAGTACTCCATCCACTCCAGTTTTGCTACTTCGGCTCGTCGACGTTGCGGCTCTTCCTCGACGACATTCCGGACTTCTCATCGTGGACGTCATCAGCAGCTTCATGGACTTCGTCACGATCAGCTCTGCCTACTTCAGACGTCGCCACTCTCTTACCACTTTAACCTGTACAGTACCCTGCTTGTGTCGCATGATGGTCTCCCTTTAGCCGGGTTCCTCTGAGTTGGGCTCTCCCTTGGTATACGCATAGGCATTGGGACCATAGCTTGCCCTGGCTTCCCATCTTACGGATCTAGCTCCGACTTCCCTCACTTTAGGAGTCATTTGCATGATTCCCTTACCCATCATCTCTCTACCCTTCGCCGACCCTCACGCCCTAGTTAGGCAGCCCCGCATGCTTCATCTAGGTGCGCCCAGTATACCAGGCCCCCTTGTTCCCTTGCATGGTCGACCCTCCATAGCGGTCACCCCTTAGTCGAGCATTACCCGCCCTGATGGTCTATCTGTTAGGGTCATTGGTTCTGTTCGCTTCCAGTTCCCTACCCTCATTGAGCTTGATGACATGTGTTTTCCCCTGTCACTATGTGCGGATGCCCTTAGGAGTTTTCGACCCCTAGGCTGCATTCGCCACCCTCAGAGACCATCCCACCCTTTGGTTTGCGACACACTTCTCATGTGACATATGGTTGTCTTGTTGATTGCTTTGTTGCTCTCAGACTGAGGCTACTGCCTCCGACATTTCTAGGATTTAGTTGTTCTGCTTTTGCTGTTCTTAGGACTTATACACTAGTCAGTTGTTACCAGACTGAGGCTAGTGCCTCCAACATTCTAGGATCTAGTTGTCACTACTTTCTGSTTTCMTAGGACATGTATGCTAGTTAGTTGCTTTTGCTTTCCTAGGACATGTATGTTCGTTAGTTGCTTCTGCTTTCACTTAGGCTGTTAGATGTGACATTGCTGTTTTGTGACATTTTATATCCTAGGTTGCATCGCATGGACTCGGCATGGAGCTTGCTCCGCATCCTAGACTACTCAAGTTTTCTTTTCTTTGGTAGAGTTCCGCTTCTTGGCGGAAGCATGTTTGTATCTAGGTGATCCATCACAGGCCGAGGATCGTGTAGCGGACCTCGGGCTGGCCTGTGAGACCAGCCCCTTGGCCTATTCTCACAGGCCTGTGTTATGTTCGGGGTAGGCCAGTCCAGGCCGGTACCTCTGTCGGTACCAGCCAGTCTAGTCCAGTCCCGTCAGTCCGCTGGGGTATACCCCAACCATTGTCTGTTTTCAGTTTCATTCTTCACTTGCACACTTGGGAGTACGTGCGTTGGAGTCTTGCGTGGGGAGCTGCGTTGTGCCATCTCGCTCCCCCCTTCTTCCTTCATCTCCATCTCTACCACTAGCGGAGCACCACACCTGGTGGGTCCGCTACAAGATGGCACCGGAGTGCTTTTAAAAGGCAGGCAACACCGATTCACGCTCCATCCTCCTGCCCTCCCGCTGTCCGATCTCTACTTCATCACTACCCCATCACCAAGGCGCCGTCACGCCAAGACTGCCCACGTCATACCCAGCCGCCACTTCGCGCTCCTGTGTGTCCAACCTGTAAGGTGCCACAGGACTGCCCGTGTGAGAGTGCCAACCCGGCGGGGCGCAGCGCTTCTGGAAGCGCTGCGCCCCCCCCCCCACTTCCAGGCAACCTCTGCATTAAACAACCTACGGGTACAACAAACCCATGCAGGCTTCATTTTTTTTTATTTTTATTTTTTTAAAAACAGAACCTCTTGGTTCTGGCCCCTACCATTCTTGGGAGCAACAGTCCAGTTCCTATTCCCCCGGCAAGTCAAATATAAATATAATGAAAACACGCTCACGCTCCCCCCCATTATGGTTGAGAGGCCCGAGTGGACGACATTGATTACTTCCTTAAGGGAAGGATATACCACCCCTCACCCCTGCCTAAGTTAGCCTATATCCACTATCTTCTGATCCTCTGCGACCCCTAGATTCTAGCTCTTTCCACTGAGTGTTGTCTAATAAACCTGAATGCTAGCCTATCTCCACTAGTTTCTGATCCTCTTAGATGCCTAGCTCCTAGCTCTTTCCGCTGAGTATTGTCTTATAAACCTGAATGCTAGGACTAATATTTGGGACTGGCTTCTAAGGGAATGTTTAGTAATTGCTGAAAACCTTTCACGAACTTGCTTACTTCTTAATCTCAGCTGGCTTTATCTTCCAACGTCCTCCCTCCCTCTCCATTATTATGTTGCCAAGTATTCTCTAT